CCAGAAAGTACTTCAAATTCCCAAGGTCCTTCACTTCAAATTCTTTTCTAAGAGCCATCTTTATTCTTTTTACTTCCTCCTCATGATCGCGAGTGACAACTATGTCATCAACGTATACTATGAGAATACACCTTTTTCCTCCTTCCATTTTTACAAACATAGTATGGTCAGACAACCCCTGTGTGTACCCTTCTGCCCTCAAAACTTTGGAAAATCTGTCAAACCAAGCCCGAGGTGATTGCTTTAAACCATACAATGATTTTTTCAGCTTACACACCTGATTTTTTCTCCCTGCCTCAAAGCCTGGGGGTAACGTCATAAAGACTTCTTCCTTAAGATCCCCATTCAAGAAAGCATTTTTAATATCTAGTTGGTGCAAGGGCCAGTCCAGATTTACAGCTACAGAAATCAAAATTCTGATTGTATTTAGTTTGGCCACGGGAGCAAATGTCTCCTTGTAGTCCAACCATACGTTTGAGTAAACCCCCTTGCCACCAATCGTGCCTTTAGCCTGTCTAAATTACCAGCAGCATCATATTTAGGGTTAAATACCCATTTACACCCCACAACTCTCTTTCCTTTCGGAAGTTCTACTATCTCCCACGTGCCATTCTTTTCCAATGCATTCATTTCCTCAAGTACCGCATTTTTCCATTCTGGAATGCTCAATGCTTCATACACATTATTAGGAATCTTCACTTTGTCAAGATTAGTCACAAATGCATGAAATGGTGAAGACAAGGTACGGTAACTTACAAACCTTTGAATAGGATGCTGTGTACACATTCTAGGTTGCTTTCTGAGAGCTATAGGTAGATCTAACTTTTCACTTCCTCCATCTCAACTACCTCTTCTGCCTCAGATTCTTGAGAGAGATTTTTACTCTCTATGTTCTCAATCTCAGGAGCCCCTCTTAGTTCAGATTCTGGCTGTACTTCAGGCATAACAGTCTCCCTTTCTCGCCATTTCTTCCTTGAGTAAGTGATTGGTGTCTTTTCCAGTGCATTTTCTGCATTCTTATGATGCTTTGAAGGACTTTTCACCTTAGTTTCTGGCCTAGGAGACTGGATTCTGAGTTCGGTGGTATGAGGGACAAGAGAATGGGACAAGAGATTCAGAATCAGTATGGTACTGAGATTGAGGATTTTTTGGGTTTGGTTTTTTTGGAATAACAGGACCTGAAACATCTTCCAAATGCTGATTTGGTTTTTCTGGAATAACAGGACCTGAAACATCTTCCAAATGCTGAAAGTCACTCCCTCTCTCCCCCTGAATTGAAGCATTTGGGTAAAAGGGTTCATGCTCAACAAAGGTAACATCTCGACTTACGTAGAGTTTTTTAGTATGAGGGTCAAAACACTTATACCCCTTCGTGTTGAGGAATAACCAAGGAAGAGACACTTGACAGCTTTAGGATCCAATTTTTGAGAATGGTAAGAGTGAACATAGGTGGTGCAACCAAATATTTTAAGAGGTAGGTCGGTGGCAAGATGAGTGATGGAGTGAGATTCTTTGAGTTTCTCAATTGGTGAAATATAAAAAAGAACGCGACTAGGCATGCGGTTGATTAAGTATGTTGCTGTAAGAATGGCATCCCCCCAAAAATATTTGGGAACGTTATATGTGAATAATAAAGCACGAGCAACTTCTAAAAGATGTTTGTTTTTTCTTTCCGCAATGCCATTTTGTTGAGGGGTGTTAGGACAGGTGCTTTCATGAACAATTCCATGGTCTGCTAGAAACAAATCCATGGTTTTATTGAAGTACTCAGTCCCATTATCGGTATGAAGCACTTGGATTGTGGCATCAAATTGGTTTTTTATCATAGTATAGAATTTGGAGAAAACAGAGGGTACAGAAGACTTATCTTGTAATAAGTAAACCCAACACATTCTGGTGTGGTCGTCAATAAATGTAATGAACCATTTTGTATTAGTACGATTAGTAACACGAGTAGGACCCCACAAATCACTATGGATTATGGAAAAAGGATGGGTAGACTTATATTCCACAGGCTTGAAAACAGATCTGTGATGTTTAGCAAGTTCACAGTCAGTACAATGAAATGAAGAATTTTTATTGGCTAGAAATTCTGGAAACAGACGACATAAATACTGGAAATTTGGATGACCCATTCTCCTATGCCATAACATAAGATCTTTAAAGTCTTTATTTTCTGAGGTAGATGCAATATTGCACTGGATTCGAGACCAAAGACTACTCACGATAGATTCATCAAGATAGTAGAGACCATTATGCTCCTTAGCACTGCCAATCATCTTCCCAGATGAGAGGTCCTGAAATATACAATGAGTAGAACAGAAATGAGCCCAACAATTACTTGTTTAGTCAACTTACTAATGGACAGTAAACTATAAGCCAAGTTCGGCACATGTAAGACATGTTCTAATTTCAAAATTTCAGAAATAGCGACACTTCCTGTCCCTGCTATTGATGAGGACGTCCCATTTGCTGTGCTTACTGTTTCATTTCCAGCATTAGGAGCATAGGTGCTGAATAGTGTAGAGTCTGATGTCATATGGTCCTGTTGCCCCAGTATCAACAATCCATTTGAAGTTATTAGTAGAAGTAAGTAAGGCATGATTACCTTTATGGGCCACAGATGCAGTATGATTTTGTTTTTGCCTTTTTTCATTCTGCTGGAGCATACTGAGCATCTCAAGCAACTTACTGAGTTGTTCCTTATCAATCTCAGGCACCGGTGGGGTTGATTCTGATTTATCTGGTGGTACATCATGAGAAGTCTGATATCCTCGTGTCTTTCCTTTCCTCGGCTTCCAATCAACTGGTTTGCCATGTATATCCCAACATGTCTCACGAGTATGTCCAGTCTTCTTACAATGGTCACAGGTCACCTTTCCTTTTTGGGTCTTCTGACTCGTGTCATTGCTCTTGCTCACAAGTGCAGCCGAGTCCAATGCTGGTTGCGCGGAAGTGGGCCCCGGAAGCATAACTTTGCGTCTTGAAGCTTCACGACGCACCTCAGAGAATACTTCTCTGGTTGATGGAAGCGGTGTACGACTCAACTCGTCCTCGTACATCATCCAAAGATTGGTTCAAACCGGCAAGAAACTGAAATACTCGTTCATTTTCCATCTGCTCCCTATACCGTGTTGCATCTTGGCTACTTGACCACTCTAAGTCTGTCATCAGGTCCAGTTCCTGCCAAATAGCATTAAGTTCCAACCAGAAGGTCGTGACATCACGCTCCCCCTGTTGCAGTGTCCATGCCTTCGTTTTAAGCTCATATATGCGAGCCAAATCCTTCCCATCAGAGTAGGAGTCTCGCACAGCCTTCCAAATTTCATGGGCTGAGGGAAGAAACATAAAGCTTTGCTGGATTTCTGAAGCCATGGCATTTATCAGCCACGATGATACCAGCGCGTTTTCCGTGTGCCACTGCTGAAACTCTTGCGTCTTGGATTCTATTGGAGTTTTCGATGAGTCGTCAAGATAGCCCATCTTCCCCCGACCTCCAATCGCGAGCTTCATGGCCTGCGCCCACATACGGTAGTTCGCACCGTTAAGCTTCACAGAGACGAGATGCACCGAGGACCCTTCGTGGTTGGTAGTCGATCCTATGAGACCACCCACCTTGCTCGGATCGATCTTAGAGGACCCATCATCATTCGACATCAGAACAGTGTCAGTTGGGTTCGCCTCACTCTCGGTACTATCTGCTTCGAAGCTCTCAGTGCCGGATTCCACTGGAAAGTGTCGCGGCTCTGATACCATGAAGTTATTGAGCCGAATTACTCTTGTATATTCATCAGAAGGTATGTACAGCAATATATACATAAGCAAGACTGATCATATCTCCGAGAATGATGGAGACAGAATCAGAGGAGTATATCGGGAAGTGAATCGCGTAAATCACTCTGTTATAACTACCCAATATCTCTCCCAATAATAACATATATTTACATTAAATAATTACTATTTCTAACCACAAGTCATATGGAAGCAATTTATAGGATTTTGAGATATGAAAGGTACTCTTAGGGCTATTCTTTAGAAAACATGAGCAAAGATCTATAAGAATTTACACTAATGCAAGTTGGAGTGAAACTTATAGAGATCAAAGGTCAACCTCTAGCTATTGTTCATTTGTGGGGTAATCTAGTCACGTGGAGAAGCCAAAAGCAAAGACTTGTTTCAAGAAGCAGTGTTAAATCTGAGTTGAGAGCTTTAGCTCAAGGAATAATAGAGGAGTTGTGGCTTGTATGAGTCTTGAATGAAATATAGGTTGAAGCAAGTTCACCATTAAAGCTTTATTATGATAATAAAGCTGCCATAAGCATGGCTTTAAATCCAGTACAACATGATAGGTCGAAACATGTGGAGATATTCAACACTTCATCGGAGAAAAGGTGGAATAACGAATTATATGTTTGACATATTTGCCTACAAAGTTGCAAGCAACTAATGTTTTGATTAAAGGGTTGCTTGGCCCTACTTTTGAGAATTGTATAAGCAAGTTGGACATGATTAGCATCTATGATCTAACTTGAGAAAGTGTGGGAATATTTAGTATTTATTGTAAATATTGTATAATCTTTATTAGGTTTTATTAGACATTATTATACATTATTAGGTTTTATTTTCCCTTGTGTATATATAGTCAGCTTGTACTCGGTATTGAAATCAATGACAACTCTCAAATTCCACACCTAGCATTTCAGGCAGCTGAGGAATATTGAAGAAAGAAAGTAATCCTACAAGCGTAATGTGTATTTAGATCCAATGGTTCATCTGCTGTACTTATTAGTTAATAATGTTTATAATGTTTGTGAATTCTTTAGCATTTCTTGGGTAACTATATTTACTCCTATGGGCTACCAACTAAGTATGTGCTTGTCTTGTATATAAAATAGGATAAAGGGGAAAATAATTGCATGATAACTATTTCTTCCATGGATAGACTTTTAATGTTAGCTTAGTTTATGTCAATATACTGATAATGTTGTCCTGTTTTCTAGGTGCTAGAAGCCCTCAAGGATTCAACATCTACAAGACCAGCTGTATTTGCCATGTCAAACCCGACAAATAATGGTAATGATTTTTCCCCATATTGCTTTGTATTTAATTGATACATGGGAATTAGAAATAAATGGGGGTAAATAGGAGAATTAGGAATATAACGGTAGTTTGGGTATTTAGATATCAGAGCCTCGTTTTTGGCTATGGAGGAACTTCTGGAAATTTAATCCTCATTAGAGCACCACTTTGAGCTTAGGCAATCCATGTTTCAACTTTCCTGACAGATGAATGAAATCTCGGCTATGCTCTCTATGCTTATCAACCAAGCTCTAATACTTTTGATAGAGGTAGAAGAGAAAGAGGGAGAGAGAGGAGGTAGAAAGGAAATAAAGAGGAAGAGAAAGACTAATTTCATTTATAATGACTCATTACAACTCAATAACTATTTATAGAGAATATATCTAAATACCCAAACTACTCTTATATTCCTAATTTCCTAATTACCCCTATTATTCTTAATCCCCAGTGTATCACTAATGGTAAAACTTATTGCCATAATCTATCTATGCATGGATACATAACTGTATAACTGATCCCATCATTTCTTGACAGCTGAATGCACCCCTGAGGAGGCATTCTCCATTTTGGGTTATAACATTATATTTGCAAGTGGGAGTCCATTCAATGACGTTGATCTTGGTATGTAAACCTTCCTAAAGGAAAATTTTCAAAGCAATCAAATCATTTATTTCTTATTTATGATGTGCAGAACTATGATTGTATATGTGACATTCTAGATCAAGATTTCCTCAATGACTTTATTCATAAGAGGCTGCATACTTATATACAAATTATAGGGATTTCTTATATAGGAAATAAAATAAAATATTAACATTCATGTTCTCATCTAATCATATCCCAATCTCTAAAGAGTAAATCTCTCTAAATTAAATACATTTAATATTAGTTTGACAATTTTGCACTCCTCCTCAAGTTGGATCATAGATACTAATTATGTCCAACTTGCTCATACAACTTTCAAAAGCAGGTTTATATAACCTTTTAGTCAACACATCTACTGCGTGAAGATTTGTTGGTAGATAGGTTAGGCATATGATTCCATCTTCTACCTTCTCTATGATAAAGTACCAATCTATTTCCACATGCTTAGACTTCTCATGTTAGATGGGATTGAAGGCCATGCTTATGGCAATCTTATTATCATAATACAATTTTAGTGGTAAATCAAGTTGGAACTATATCTCTTCCAACAAGACCTTCTTCAACCATCCCTGAACAAGCGCCTTTAACTTCGATTCAGCACTGCTTTTTGAGACCACCCTTTGCTTCTGACTCTTCCAAGTAACAAGGTCTCCTCATACAAATGAGCAATAGGCAAAAGTCAAACTCCTATATGAGTTATGTGCACTCCAATTTGCATCTGTATATACTTTTATAGTTCTTTGTTCATGCTTTTGGAACAACAAACCTCTTTTAAGGGTATCCTTAGATACCTTAGAATCTTGTATGCTGCTTCCATGTGTTTTTCTTTTGGTTCACACATATACTGACTAGTTACACTCACAACAAATGTTATGTCAGGTCGTGTGTGAAAGGTGAATGAGTTTTTCAACAAGGCTCTAGTGTCTCTCTTCATCAGCTGGTTTCTCTTTCTTCTTATCCTTCTCTTCCTCAACAGTGTCATCCTCTTCCTTAGAATTTCCCTCTTCTTTCTTTGACTTTTGCTTCTTTGGAACAATAATAATAGTTTCAACACATTTACACGCCAACATACTTGTCTCTTTTAAGAGATCAAGTAAATACTTTCTTTGGGATATATAAATGCCCCACTTTGATCTTGCAACTTCCATTCCCAAGAAATACTTCTAGTGTCCAAGGTCCTTGACCTTCAACTCTCTTCTTAAAGTAGCTTTTACTCTTGTTATTTCTTCACTATGATAACTAGAGATAATTATATCATCAACATATACAAATAATATACAGCTCTTAGACTTAAGAAAGTCACCCAAAGATTTGTTAACATATTCAATGCCATTCTCAGTTTGGAGGATTTTGATGGACGTGTGAAATTGATTTAATATCATGATGTAGAATTCGATAAGAATATATATCACATCAAACTTATCTTTCATTAAATATACTCAGCACACACGAATTTGTTCATTGATGAAAGTAACAAACTATGAACGATAGAAAAAGGTTGAGGGTTTGTATTCATTGCACAAAAAAGAGAGCAATAGTGTTTGGCCAATTCACAAATATCACAATGAAAACTAGAAATTTTATTAGATGAAGATTTAAGAAACAAACGACTCAAGTATTAGACATTGGGATGACCCATTCTTTTATGCCATAAAAAAAAAGATCAACATTTTCAAAAAGTAGACGCAAGGTTGCAATGGAAACGAGATCAGAGATTACTCATGGTTGATTCATCTAGGTAGTAGAGCTCATCACACTCCTCAGCACTGCCAATCATCTTTCCCATTGGAAAATACAATGAGTGAAAAAGAAGTGAGCACTATACTAAGCTTGTTTAGTCAACTTTCTTATAGACAACAAATTACAAGTTAAATAGGGAATATAAAGAACAAAATCCAAACACAGGAATTTTGAAATAGTAATACTGCCTTTCCAACAATTGATGAAAAGGTGCCATTGGCTGTATCAATTTTCTCACGCCCATTACATGGGAAGTATGATGTAAATAATGTAGAATCTGCAATCATGTGATCCGGGCCCTAGAGTCAACAATCCATCTAGACTTAGTGGAACAATCATTGAATGCATAATGAGAATTACCTTGCTTAGATACTAAAGCCTTATGAGACGGGGAAGGTGACTGTCTAAATTGTAAGGATTGAAGCATGTCCATAAGCTTATTCAATTGGTCTTTATCAATAGCAGGCGATGGACTAGATTTGTCTGGCGAATCAGAGGTAACTTGGTAGCCACGGGATTTACCTTTATGAGGTTTCCAATCAGGAGGCTTCTCATGAAGATCCCAATACTTGTCTTTCGAGTGGCCCGTCTTTTTACAATGGTCACACATAATCTTCCCCTTTGTATCTTTATGTCCTTGATCAGAGTGCTTGCTTACTAAAGCAGAAGATTCAGATTGAGGAGGAATAGTGGAAGGGGCAGATAACAGCACCTTGCAACGAGAGGCCTCTCAGTGAACCTCAGCAAATGCATCACGAGATGGTAGTAGGGAATGAGCCAATATACAGCTACAGACATCATCTAAGTGGCCCGTCTTTTCACAATGATCAGACATAATCTTCCCCTTTGTATCTTTGTGTCCTTAATCAAAGTGCTTGCTCACTAAAGCAGAAGATTCAGATTGAGGAGGAACAGTAGAAGGGGTAAATAACAACACCTTGCGACGAGAGGCTTCTCGGCAAACCTCAGCAAATGCATCGCGAGACGATAGTAGGGAGCGAGCCAATATACAACTACAGACATCATCCAAGGATTGATGAAGACCAGTCAAGAACTGAAAGACTTGCTAGTCTTCAATTCAGTGCTTGTACCTTACTACATTGGTGGCATACAACCACTCCTCTTCTATGTTAAGATCAATTTCCTGCCAAATTGCAACTAACTGTAACCAGAATTCAGTTAATTCCCAATCTCCTTGTTTAATCCATCAACTTCATGTCTTAAGATCAGAGTTGGGCACTGTCTTCACCATCTGAATATGACTCCTTAACCACTTTCCATATATCACGCTATCGGAAGAAATATAAAGGGGCACTGAATTTGTGGTGTCATAACATTGACTAGCCATGAAGCTACTAGAGTTTTCGGTCTCCCACTTCACCATAGCCTTCAAGTCTAATGTCTTTAGAGCTTAGGAGTGGCCAATGATAAAACCCAGCTTGCCTCGTCCTCCCATAGGAAGCTGGACTGCTTGTGCCCATTCATAATAGTTATAACCTTTAAACTTTTCTAAGACAAGGAGAAAAGAGGACCTTTGGTAGAACTCAATCCTTAGGGAGCTCTGCCATGTGATTGTAGAAGCAAGACACTCTTTGTGCCAGAACCAAAACCCATGGTCAAAAGCTAAGGCAGGCGTGAGTGCAACTCTAAAGGCAGGCGCGACTATGACTCTAGACAACTAGAAGTGTTGCCTTCATGCGACTCTAAATTGTGGTTGAGAATGTGAGACTTGCCTTTGTGTGACTCTAGAATGCGCGACCTCGACTTTGTGTTGCTGAGAAGAGATGAGCAGAGGTCATGTGGGTTCAATGTGGATGAGGTGCTGATCAGAGAAGAAGAACAGGAGTCGTGTGAGTCGTTCAAGTTTGACTCTGATGTTGGGTCACTAAAGGAATTTCCAATTTAGATGTGCGAGTCTCTAATACCATGTGACATTTTGGATCAAGAATTCCTTAGTGACTTTACTCACAAGAGGTTGTATACTTATATACAAATTACAAGGATTTCCTATATAATAAATAAAATAAAATAAAATGAAATATTTATTAAGTCTCATGATATCATCGAATCATATCTCAATATCTAAGGAGTAAATCTTTCTAACTTAAATACATTTAATATTAGTTTGACTATTTTCACAGTATATGTGGGCAATCATCGCATAAATAAAGTAGTTTTGTGTGAATACATGTGGACATGTGGATAAGCACTGATAATGTTCTCTGTCATTTATTTTTCTGTTACATTTTATTCTATGTTCCTACTTTTGTGGGCTTTGAAATTCCTAATATCTTGGGATCTCAAGCCTATCTCGTTTCAAAGTTAATGTACACTTTCCTTCAGCTTTAATAATAGAAACCAAAGAAGAGTCAGACAGACTCTCTAGATTAGTTCTAGTCACTAAATTCTTCAGTAAGGAATCTCTTATGCCAGACAGGATATGTTAAACCTTCTTTTAACGATAGATGTTAGAGTTATTAATCATAAAACCTATGCAGTATGTAGTTCTTTGAATTGGTAAGAGAGCTCCTTATCCAAGTGATTAAAAGTTAGTCTATGTTTGGAAATTGTAGAAATAGTAAATAGTAAAATGTGGTAAAATATTGTAGAATGGAAAATGCAAGGGATGGAATGGGGTAAATTCACCTTCCTATATTGGTAGTGTGATAATAAGGGTTCCAATACAAGTAGAATAACAATACAACAAGTGCAAGTATGTCCATTAGTCATCAACATTTGTTCTTTTTGAGCTTATTATAAATAAATTAGCTCTTAAGGACACTATTGTACATGCTCCTTAGCTCCACGGATACCATAGTAAATTCTTCTTAGCTAGAGCCCATAAATAGGTGTCTATCACCTGTAAAGTTGAAGAATTTATTCGAAGGCAAAGTATATTATGTCTTTTCTCTTATCATTCCTCATGGAATTAGAGTGTTAGGCTCTTAAACTCACATTTTGTGGCTTTCACTCTAAGGCTTGTCTTTGCTTCATTTGTGGGCTCTACATCCCAACACCATAGGAGTTCCCACCAACATCACTGACTGATCCATTCTGGGACAACGGGCCTTCAGGTCTACTGCACACACTGCCAATTTTTTCCTAGACATTCTCTCATATGTTGGAGCTTGAGAGCATGTAAAGCCCCTTCTCCAAATATCTTTTGCCTATATTTTATCATTGGATGCTGTACCTTCAAGTCTAGTACTTCACCACATGGAAGGCTGCATGATAAG